ATAGTTTAATAGTAGGTCCCTATTATTCGTGATATAAATTAATACTCTAGTATTATAGTACTAGGTATCGTTCTTCTTAGTAAGAATCCTAATTATACTTATCGTAATACTATCTTCCTCTTAAAAGAGAGTCTCGATCTATTATTTTAGTATATAGGTAGAGAAAGCGTCTCTAGTAGGTAATTTAGCTAAATTAGTCGAATTAGTCGAATTAGTTAGTTAATAACGTCGAATTATACGCTAATAGGCTATCTTAAATCCTCTAGATTTATCATATTACTTTTTAAATCGCTCTTAGACCTCTAGATTAGGTTACTACTTCCTAGGTCTTACCTTAGGATTTATATAGTAATATATCTTAAAATCGTGGTTACTAGAGTTAGATATATCCCTATAAGGATACTTTCTTCTTCTAGTAGTTAATTATATAGGTTCTTCTTTGTCTAATTTATTAGGTTAATATTCTTAGTAGATCGTATAGGTAATAGGTTATCTTTTACTATTATTAGTAGTAAGTAGTCTATATTAATTAACGAATTAATTAACTAATTTAGTTAGGATAGGTCTCTTTAGATCCTATAAGATTATATTATACTAGAAGGTATAGAAACCTTAGTTACTAGGTTAGATAGTCTCTAGGAAGTTATATACTAAAGATAGAGGATATTAAAAGTAGGTAATTTATACTTTCTTATCTTCTAATTAGTTAATTATCTACTTCTATCCCTATATAGGTAATTAGGATAATTTAGTTAGTAGAGCTTATTATTTTAGCTTATCCTAATCGCGTAAGATTTAACGATTCTTCGATTAGTTATATAGGGTAAAGATAGTATATAGTTTTACTATAGCTTCGTATATTAATAGGCTATTAACGATTTAATATTCTTCTAGTATAAGCGAGGATTAGATATCTTACTTAAGAGATTTAATAGATTAAAGATATTAAAGGTAGTCTAATCTTAACGATTCGTATTTACTTAGTAGTATCTTATAGATAGCTAAATAGTTAGATATAAGATCGATAAGCCTAATTAGTAGCTTAGGAGGATTAGATATATAGGTATTAGTAGATCTTCTGATTATATTATAGATTTATAGTTTAATTAGTTCCTAGGGCGAGGTAGATAGAGTAGCTTAGTCCGGATCGGCGTATTTCTATAAGTTATATACGATTATATAGTCTTAACCGTAGTAATCTAGGGAACCTAGTATATATAAGATTTTAGTAGGTAGTTAAGCTAGGTAGCTTATAGAGTAGTTAAATCTATTACTTCTATATAAGAAGTAAAGCGAAAGTAAGAGTAAAGTAAGAGAAGATTAAATTAAATTAGTTAAATAGTTAGAGTAGAGGCGTCGGGCTTATAACTATCGGACTTTAGGCGGTAACTATAAAGTCGTGGTTATATATATAAGAAGATAGTGTATATAAAGGTAAATACTTAACGTAGTGTCTAAATACACGGTTATAAGTCTATCGGTCGTACGTAGTTCTATAAAGGAGAAGCACCACGATTATAGAAGAGTATTACTAATCTAGAAGAGAGATTATAAGGGATAATAAACTTAATTTAATTTAGCTAGGAAATAGGGCAGTATTTATATCATAGAAACATAGCAAAAGATCATATAAAATAGTAAGAAAGTGGAGTATTGAATAGTCTCCTACCTAGGTAGGCAATTCAATGCGAGTATGTAATTTAATACAAGATCGTTAAGGATCAATTCGATAGATCTTATAGAGAAGAAGATCTAGATATAGAGAGGGGTTATATAAGTAGGTCCTTCGTTATGTGACCCCATAATATCCACATATTAATAAGAAGTATAGTAAATTAGATCTAAATTAGAGATAATCTACTCGTTAATAGCGTCTAGGCTCTTATTTTATTACTCCTATTTATTTAAATCTAGCTTATATATATCTATATAGTCTCTCTACTCTCTTTTCGCCGTTTCGTTACTATCTTTAGGGTATTAAGGTCTTCGAGGCTTATAGATTAGTTTCTCGAGGTAACCTTCTTCGGTATTAGGGTTAATAAGGTCCTATATCCTCTTCTAGCGTACGTATAGCTTAATTCGTGCGAACTAGTTCCTCTATTATAGAGGGTCTTTTAGCTTTTCGCCCTTTATAGCGGAGATCACTATTAACTCTATATTAATCGCCTTTTAGTAGTGTATTTAGCGATAGGAAGTTTAGGGGTAAGATAAGATAGATCGTATATATAGACTACTGTAATTATCGGCGTATAGTCTCGAAATCGACGAATCTACCCTTCTCGCTAGCGATTCGGGCTCATAACTATCGGAACTAGGTTACTGAGCTTATCTAGGTACACTAATCGGATTTTAATAGGTCTGAATTACTATATAGCCCCTTTCTAGTAATTTGGATAGGCATAATAATGACTAATATATACGGGTTTATAGTATCTCCTTTCTTCCGAGTATCCACTACTAGTCCTGCTCCGACAGGGCCGAGCGTTCTGCTAAGGCGGTGACCCTCCGGCGGTCAACCGACATACCCTCAGGGGCGATACGTGACAGCCACGCTGTATACGGATCGTAGTTACGGTATGTGTGATGAGTTGGCTATGCGGTAGCCTTTCGGTGGGGTATCCCCCTTGCTTCGTGTTTGTTCCCTGTTTGCACAAAAGATACTGTATTTAAATTAATGCTTGAGAAGTAGGGTTTCGGGACTCCTCAAGAAACAGTCTTGCCACGAATTCCACTAGGTGCTTCCAACCTTACCTGATCAACAGGCTTTCTACCCTGTAAGTAGTTATCTTTACACCTATCTAGTATTACCTAGTAAACGATTAGGACTAGCTTAAATTTAATAGATTAGTTATAACTAGTAGAAACTAGACGCTACTAGTATTATATAGAACTTACTATATAGCCTTAGTATACGTTTTAATATAGCTTATATTCTTTAAACTAACTTAGATTAGTTATAACTAGTAACGGCTAGTTATTACTACCTAAAATTCCTCTACCTAGTTCTACCTAGTATAGCCTAGTATAGCCTAGTAAAGTATATAGGAACCTATCAGGTGATTAGGTGACTAATATTAGTAGCTACTAGTACGGCTAACCTAGCCCGACTAAAGCCTATCAGGTGGTACTAAGATCGTGGTAGGAAATGATAAGGCGATAAGCCTTATCTAATCAGTAAAAAAATCCTACTAAATCCCACCTGATCTCACTGAATCCTACCTGATCACATATAATTACTACTAAAGCCCATTAGGTGATCAGGTGCCTGATCCACCTGGTAGCATCCAAGCGCCTCACGAGCGCCTCGAGATCCGCCAAGCGGTCAAGCACACGCTTGTCGAGTGGTCGTCGCGGTCGCTTCGGGGCTCTGCCCGGTCCTGATGGATAGACACATTCCGTCCCCGTCCACAGGCAGTTGGCGCACGGCTTCTGGCGATCACATTTTACTTTGCGAGAACGACAAATTAGACAGCTGCGGATATGCTGGTGGGATCTTGTCAGTGAGTGGCCCGATGACCCTTCGGACGCCTTGCTGGTAGCGTCGTAGGCTGGACAAGTTTGGGCGTCGGGCGAGAGATCCTGAAATTGTGAGCCCATTTAAACGATTGATTCGTGCGAATACTGAGATCTATCAACTAGTTGTCGGGAGTTGTAATGAGATAAAATAAAAAAGTCAGCAGGCATATCATTACGACAGTCAGGTGTGTACATACGGGCTTGAGGCCTGTAGTCCGGTTTACAGTATTGAAATTACTCTATTTGATACGGTAAAATATACAGGTATGAAACAGCAAGAGATACAGAAATCGCTAACAACTCCCTTTAAGTGAAGCTCTTAAACATTACAACGGTTTTGGCTTTCATGATTAATTCCAAAGAGTTTTAGCCATCCCAATCCTCTCAAAAATATCATGAAAATCGGCCAGTCTAGGAGAAAAAGAGAATTCTACTGTAGTTGGAAAGCTGGCCCTTCACTGATCATGCAGTGCATTGTGCAATGGATTGGCCATTCTTGATCTACATCTATGCCCGTCATCTATACTCCTCCAAGCATGGCAAATTATTTACCGTTTCCCTTTTCAGCGCTCAGAACTGCCAAGTTTCGGGATGTTATGCAAATCTGAAATGAGACGGATAAGCTTATGCGGGGCCGGTTGCGGGCCCTTGGGGGACCGAGGCGGCCGATTGGCTAGAACTTGTATAAGTTCCGGTGATTAACCAGGGTCGCCCGACCTCCGAAAGGATGGTTGTTGTCGTTTCAACACAAGCTGGCTATTACCAGCACATCGAGATTCCACAAGGATGTTCAGGTTATAAATTTATGCTTGCCCTATCCCTCGTCTTCCTTGAAGCGAGGTATCTCTTCACAAGCCCCTGCAAACCGAAGCTATTTCAAGTCACGATCTTGGCGATGGTCAAATTCATTATCATCTAGGCCTCAGGCAAGTCCATCGCCGCCCTCGGGTGTAGCTAGTAGACTCCTGGCACGCAGTGGTATTGGATCTCTTCTACAAGCATACTTGAAAACTCAAACCCAACGACCATATACTACACAATTATGCACATCAGTGCAAGTATATCACTCAAGTCGCCGGCATAAGCCATATAATGAAGCGCTCAGAATGAGGTATACACTCATAATTACATACAAGAAAAATTTGTCTAAAGATAAGTTTGATACCATGGGGTGAGTTTTTTACTGCGTTGAGCTCGGATTTGCTTCACTATTATTAGTGAAATATAAATATTTGACACTATAAATCTCCAGTAACAAGTGCAGAAAGACAACAAATGGATACGTGTATTGTTTGTAAGCTAACGGACTATTGAACCAACAGAGCATGGTAGAATAAAGCACAAAATTGAATGACAGCAAATTGTCCGACAATGATCAACTTGAAGGGACCTTGAATGTCTCCATGACTGTTCCACTTTGAACCTCGGCCAGACTGGTTCGTCGCCTTGAATCGAACATTCAAGTCGCATGGAGACAGATAAGTCTACCACAGGAACTCGGCCAGACTGCGGAGCAAACCGGCGGGTACCATGACCGTTTCCGAGTCACCGGCTCCATTCAATGCCACATTACTAAGAACCTTTCTCAGGGTGCGAGGACCAAGCTCGCCGTTCGAATTCGGAGGAGAAAGGGTGCTCTGAGCAACGAGACTCTGAGTAGATAGACCCTGAACAGAGAAAATACTACCGTAGATTCCCTTGACGCTGTTCCATGCGCCGGAGGCCCAGTTGTAGACAGATTGTCCGAATTCCTTGATCTTCTCCCAGGCTTTGCTGACGAACTCGCTGATACGGCTGACAAAGCCCTTCAGCGTGTCAACGATCTTCCCAGCGAATGCACCGATAGCACTCAGGCCAGCCGAGTAGGTGGTTGCTGCACCAGGTCGCATCGTTGGTGGAAGCTTCTCAATCTCCGCGAGACCGAGAGTGAGGAAATCATCCCAACGCTTCTCGCTATTTTTCTTCTGTTCCTCAACAGTCTTGCGCAGCTGATCCTTCCAGCTACCTTCATCCTTGGCGTCAGGGCCATTCGCTTTCTCTTCCAGGCTGCGCTTGACTCGCTCAGCTTCGTCCTGGGTCTGTTGAAGGCCCTCAGTCGTCTTCTGGCTGAGCCTCTGGTAGATGTCCGAGTTGTTGTACATGGTGTTGATGTCCATTGCCATCAGATCCTGGCGAAGAGAGGAGGTCTCCGCTTGAAGGTTCATGAGGGTCTTCTCGGAGAAGATGGAGAGGAAACCCACGTTACCCTCGGAAGATGCCAACTTGAGCACAGCAACATCGCTGGTCAAGGCCTTCTTCCAGCTTGCATCCAGGGTTTCGACGGGGGCAGACATGATGAATGTAGAAGGAGATGATGAGAAATGATTTGAGGTTGTGGAGAATTGGCTTGCAAAAGAGCTCAAATAAGATAAATACTCAGAAGGACTGAATAGATGGTGGTTGTTTTCAAGATGATGATTGCGGATGCAGAGTTCATTTCTGGGTGAAAGAATTGGCACTTTATATACACTTTTCAGGAACACTGTGCTGCGAGCTACTCCAGCATCAATCTCCCTTTCCAATCCAATTTTCCGCCCTTAGCACACTCGCTTGTGATACCCCAACTCTTCTCAGCCAGCCTCCAGTCTTCTTGAAGCGCCAAAGTGGAGATGGAAGCAAGTTCCAGCTGAGATGACTCCCCGCTGTATCTGCGAGATCTCTAGCGAGTATCTTTAGGCCAACCAGAGGGTTCACAGAATAGGAACTAGCGAGCATAGTGACGAGTTTGTCTTCCTAACTGAGACATATCTATGATTCCTTTCGTCATTTCAGGAAGTTGATTGAGAAGTGACAACCAGTCACAGCTGAATAGGTTGCTGCTTGTGTATTTCTGGCATTTTTGGCGAGCTTGTTCAGAACTACGTAGTGGATCAGGAGCCCCATAGCCAAGAGATCTCAATACAATGTCTCCTTTAGCTCATAGTAATATTTAGCGAGAGCCCCCGGTCTCCCCGTTGAATCCAGAAGACAGTGGGGAAAGGACTCTCCTTGAATAGTCATACTACATCGGCAAGAATATACCTATACGGCGTACAAATTTGTGGCTAGTGTATACTATACGTAATGGTGCACTCATCACAGTAGATGGTGTGTATCTTCTAGCTTCAGCGATGGTTGTGATTGATGTGATACGCTGTGGTAGATTGTGATGGATTGTGATATCTCTTAGGGGCATGAAAAGCAGCGGGGCAACATGTTCACGGGTACGGCAGCCGATAAGTGTCACCAAAGTGCAAGTGGAGTTTTCATTCCGCCTTTTACACCGCTTTATTTCACCGTCTTAGAAATCAGGCATGAACTTATTAAGTAATCTCTGCGGGCCCTTATGATGCGAATCTACCCGCTTTTGTCCCCGCATCTTTCTCTCTGCAATCTCCTTCCTGCCGCCAGGATAACGCTTTCAATCGAGCTCGAGCTTGACCTACGGAGTATACAAAGTTGAAATCATTAATGTATTACGCCGCGGAAGAGCTAATAGGGCTTTCATAACTATAATAGCTAAGGAAGCTAACGGCGGCCCCGGTCGCTAGAGAGGATTTAGGCCTTCATGAGGAGCCAAAAAGACTAGGAGTCTACGCCGGGTATACTTAGCGGAGGATCTCACACTGGCTGCAATAGACCCTCCGCTAGCTACGACGAATTAGAGAAGAAGCACGAAGCGGTCTCTTTGACCGAACAGCTGACTTGCTCGGGGCCACCGAAACCACATCCTCTAAGCTAGTGTGAAATCCTCCGCCGGGTTCACCGAGGCCAACCTCTGCGTAGGAAGATATAGGCGAGAGTGCTAACGGAAAGGGCGGGGGGAGGGAGTTCAAATCGTATGTAATTCGATTCAATTCAGTTCGATTCAATTCAGTTCGATTCAATTCAGTTCGATTCAATTCAGTTCGATTCAATTCAGTTCGATTCAATTCAGTTCGATTCAATTCAGTTCGATTCAATTCAGTTCGATTCAATTCAGTTCGATTCAATTCAGTTCGATTCAATTCAGTTCAATTCAGTTCAATTCAATTCAGTTCAATTCATTCAATTCGCATATAAATCGTATGAGAGATAGGCCATCAAAATCGTGGGCCTGATTGGCAAAATCAGAACTCTTCGAGATTGATCTTGGCCGGGTTGCAGGCAGCAATGTGGCCTAATCAGGAATTCTGCCGTTAAAACTAATGAAAACGCCACATGCACTTTGGTGGCTGCCGTACCCGTGGTAATAAATGTGGTTATCATACCCGGGCCGGGCCTGCAGTGGGTACCTGCGTAGTCCACATGTTCGGGGGCGCTGCGCCCGCGTGCGAACTGCGAACATGTTCTTCTCTACTCAGCCTTGCAGTCGCGCCATGCTTGATTTTATCACCTATGCAGGCTCCGGTGGCTTGCATACCTGGCTTACTTCCTGCCTGCTTCAAATTAAATTTGTGGAGATGTGGCAAACGTGGCTGCCATCCCTACTGGGGATATCAGCAAGCATGGAATATTACCAAGCATAGATCTCGTTGAGTATGCTTTCTCGCAGGATATTATAAAGACCAGTCAACTTGAGCCTGTAATCTCTGTGCCTACTGTCCAGCTATATGCTAAAAAAACATCTTCTATCGAAAGCTCTGTAATAAGTACATCCCCACCCTGCGCATCTACGCAGAGAGGTGACAGAAATCATGAAGGTTCAGTCAGCTGAAGCAGGTAGGTAGTATCTGCATAGGCGCCATATTCCCGTTTTTTTCCCTTGCCAAAAGGAGCGCTATCCCAATCTAGGTACGAACGAATAGTTGCCTTTCCTACATATAATTTTCGGGCAACAATAGGCGACTGAATTTTGTGGCGCCGTAGCATACACTCACAGCTGTAAAATTGCACAACGAAAGCCAAAATATCCGACCGAGCAAGTCAATTTTTTGAAATAATGTCCAAGCGCACTAAGTACAGCGTCCAGCTGACAGGTTTCAGGCATGGGAATAGCCCGATGAAGAAGAGCGAGCTGAATCACTTGAATATGATATTTGGCTTGACGAAGCGATATAAAGACGCAGAATAATACGGGCCGGTGGCCAAAACTCGATTTGGCATATTCTTTCTGTGATATCGCTTCTTGCTGCTTTACTCTCATCGATTCACCATGTCTTACCTGAACGGAAACAAATTCTCCCTGTCTGAGAATTCTGGCTTCTCGTCGCTCAGCACCTTTGATCTGAGGCCCAGCATTACTGAATCAAACTACATTCTGGTCAAGTTGACTGGTCCTCTGGACCGATCCAAGAAGCGGATTCTCTCTGAGTTGCACATCCAAGTACAGCAGTTTCTTGGCGACAATACCTTCAAGTGCCGTTACGAGCCTACCGATATCGATCGCATCAGGGAACAAGATTTTATTGAAAATGTCCAAGTCCTTTCCCCTCTCCTGAAGCTTCCTCCAAGTCTGAAGACCCAAAGCAACTATGAATTCCATGACGAGCTAAAGTCAGTGGACCTCGTTTTGCATCAGGCAGCCGACAAATCTGTTGAGGCCTTGATGCAAGAAATCAGTCAAATTACCGGCATCTCTCCGGAGAATATGAGTGTTCGCGCAGATAGCTCTATTATTCGAGCACAAGTCTCCCCGAAAGACTTGTTGGAGATTGCAAAGATTGATAGCGTTGGGGCTATTGAGGAGGTTCACAACCTAACGTTGCTTAACAACGTCGCTCGGGATATCATCCATGCTGATATTGGGGATTCCGGGGTTGGCAGTCCTACATATTACAAAGGAAAAGGCCAAGTTGTCACAGTTGCTGATACCGGCTTTGACATGGGAGACAAGGCCAATACGCATCCTGCTTTCGCCAACAGAGTGCGCGATCTCATCCCAGTTGGACGGAAAAACTTAACAAGTGACACGAACGGCCACGGCACCCATGTCTGTGGGTCAGTCCTGGGAAACGGCAAGTCAGACGCTATGGGTGGCTCTATTCAAGGAGCTGCACCCGAGGCAACATTGGTTGTTCAGGCCCTCCTCACAGATGACGGTAAACTTTTCGGTTCGTCGGGTAAAACGCTGGGGGACCTTCTGCGAGATGCCTATGAGAACCATGAATCTCGGATTCACACTAATTCATGGGGTCCTGAGTGGGACTGGAGAGGCCAATTACCCTACAACAATGCTTCAGAAGAGCTTGACAACTTTGTCTGGAGTCATCAAGACCTTGTCGTGTGTTTCGCTGCTGGAAACAGTGGCAGGGCAGCGACCCCCAAGGGCCACATTGGTGCACAGGCAGCTGCAAAGAACTGCATCACCGTGGGCTCGTGCGAGAATCTGCGATCTTCCCGAGATTACACTTGTCAGGTGTATGATGCCAAGGGATTGGTCAAAGGAGACCCTGACAAAATCTCCGGATTCAGCAGCCGGGGACCCACCAGGGAGGGCCGTATCAAACCCGACATTGTAGCACCTGGAGGAATGATTTTGTCCACTGCTTCGCGGGCCATTCAGCCAATAAACACATTTGGAAAAAGCGATGATAAGCTTTGGCAGTTCTTGTCTGGCACAAGCATGGCCACTCCCTTGGTTGCCGGATGCGTGGCTGTGCTGCGCGAGATGCTCATTGCAAACGGCCTCCCAAACCCCAGCGCTGCTCTACTTAAGGCCCTTCTCATTAACGGTGCAGCGGACACCGGAAATAAGCGAGAGCTTCAAGGCTTTGGTCGGGTCGATCTAGCTAGGTCGATGATTCTCAAGGGAAAGACCCTCAACCGCGATTTTCTTGAAGCTGAAGTCGCGGATGAGGACTTGAAGGATCAATTCACAACTTCCTTCAACATGGATCGTTATATGGATGCTTCTACACAATTCGCAACCTTGAAGGTGACTATGGTCTACACAGATGTTGCGGGAGCGCTGCTGCAGAACAACCTTAACCTGTCAGCAACTGTTGAAATCCCAGGTCAAGACCGCCGCGTCCGATATGGCAACATGGGTGAGCAGGAGAATATTGATCCCGCTCCTTCTGACGGGGTCAATACGGTTGAACAAATTGTCTGGAAGAATCTGAAAAGAGAGGCGACTGTGACATTCAATGTTGCAGTAGGAGGAACCATGATGGCCGATGTCCAGCCTTTTGCGCTAGTCTGGAGCGTTGAAATTGATCCGGAAGTGAAGCAGTAAAGTATTTGCGAGGAGGATTATCTTTCAACTGAAGCACATTTTGGTCCGACCGTTATTTCTTTGAGTTTGTTCGCTTGAATTTCATCTTCTATACAAGTAATTCCAAGTCGTATGGCCCGTCTCAGACTGCGTATTTGCTTACAATTGCTGCGCAATTCT